AAGAACTGAAGTGCTGCTACTTATTTATTTGCTGAAAAAACACTACAGAGCTTATCTGGTGATGAGAAACTTATCTTGAAGGTAATCACTCACACTCTTGTTATGTACTTGCTCTAAGAGTGCTCTTTCTCAGTTTTTCTGAGGAATTTTGTCTACCTCAGTTTGATCTTGAATTTTGAGTAGTACAAAGTTTCTTAAGCAGTAATTTGTTAACAGGGAACATGTTAGTAAAGAGATGTAAATAAGCTTTTATTGGTTATCTCACATGTCTGAATGCATTTTCTCAGTATCCATAAGAACCTGAGATCCACTATAAGTCATTTGTTTGTAGTGCAGATGGATACAGGACATGAATACTTATGACATCATTGGCTATATAGAAAGAACAGTGCTAGATTAGGACACATTAGATAGAAAACATCAGCTTCTTACTTCTTCTCTTTTACTCCAGTGAACTCAAATCAAAAGAAAACAACCTTATGGAATAGGATCCTTTTAGGTAAGTTTTGGATACCTATTGCCTTTTCTTTGGAAACTTATCTACCACCCTATTAAACAACAAAGCACCTTTCTATGACTAGTACTAGTCAACTCTTTTTTTATAAAATTTTTGGTTAAGCGCTAGTGAAGTTTAAGGCTCCACATGAGGGATCCTCAACATCAGTAGTGATGGATACTTCAGGTGAACCTTTGGCACATTAGCTTCCTCTTTTGATAAAGCAATAAGTCACTTGGTGGATTAAGACCTATACAGTGGTTTTAAAGAGTGTCTATGTGTAAGATAAAAAAGTAATATAGTTTGTGCATTATTCTTTTTATTATTTTTTGCATTTTATTGTTGTAAGTAATTAATCTATACTAGACAGTCATATAATTATCTTATCCTGATTGGGTGAGATATAAATAGTTAGCTCTTTGTACTATTCGTTGATCTGTAAATCTTTAGACAATATGGTAATTATTCATCCTGGTTATTCCTAAATTGTCTATTTACTTTAATAAAATACATAACACATGGGCATAAGGATGAGCTGGCATTTAAAAAAAATTTTTTTTTAATTATTTATTGTTTTAAAATTTGATATTTTGTAGATTTGTATAGAATAAGTCTAATATTTGAGATACAATTTGTTAATAAATTATAAATATATATTAAATTTGATTATATTGAAAAATATATGTTATATAAGTTACTATTATAAAATAGTTTATTTGTAAAAATATATTTATTTTCATATTACATATCAGTTATTTATATATTACAACTATATTACTATTTAAATTTTTAACTATTGTTTTAAAATTTCAAATATTTTTTTGAGTTTTGTAAATTTTAAATTTTAAATGGTTTATTGATTAAATTTATTATATTGTGAAGTATTTTTTAATATTTAAAAAAATATTAATTTGTGCTAATTTGATTAAAAGTCAGAAAAACTGATGTTAGTTATTTTTATCTTATTGTAATTTAGTTTTTTTTTTGTTTTCTTTTTTTTTAAAGATTTAAATAAAATATAATATTATTGTTAATATATATTTTTATTTATTAATGATTTGTTTATAAAGCCTTGTATATATCTTTTATAAAGGGCTGTGTGACTGTTGTTCTTTTTAATGTGTTGTTGAGTTTAAGTTATTTTGTTTTTTTTTTAAGAAAATTTTTAGAATAAAGAAAGACTAATGAAAAGAATTTTCTTTTTTATATCATATAAATATATTGTATTATGTCTTTCAAGCTATATAAACAATAATATACAATATATACAATAACAAGTTAGTTATCATGTAATAGATTAATGTAACAATATAATACTAATAATAATAACTATAAATAGGAAGAAATGTTGATTGTTCCTATTTTTTAACATGGATTAAGCAATTCTCTATTAATTAACAATATTGCATACGATTTCGAATCATGTATAGCAGCTGTTTTAAATTGAAGCAAGTGCAAATAATGAATTAATGCATTGATAAATTAATTGATTGATAATAAAATATAATGATACGTGTTTGTTGATATATTTTTTTTTCAATATAAAAAAATAATTGATCGATCCGAAAATTTTTGCAATGCTATATACAGTAAATACACTATGACAAACCCGACCTACTGATATCGGTATTAATGGTCAAAAGGATATCCCAACAAATTTCTTTAATTAGTCGTAACTTTGTGATTCCTTTTCAAATTCACATGCGCATGGTTATTCGAGCAACATAGTTGATAATTATGTTATAAAAAGCGTTGGAATTTTCAAATTTACACATTTCCCCTCTTTCATGTGTCTCGGGATAAGAAAAACAAGGGGGAGAAAAAAAAAAAATTATACAATGTCTAACATTCTGAACAATAAAATGCTCCGAATTCGCCTTATGTAATGAACAAAATCTATGGATGTGTATTGTAGAAAGAAAAAAAAAATTTTTTTTTTTGTGATTTATACAAAAGCGTGCTAGTATTTTTCCTCTATGTAAAAATATAGGAATGATCCAAGTTTAAATCAAACGTCCAGGACACTGTCCTCGTGAAGAATCATTCCTGACAGGAAAAGAAAACGAGCTAATATAAAACAACCTATCTTTTTTCTTTTGTTTTTTTTTTTTTAAACAAAAAAGAAAAGATACGTAAAGTTCGACATGAAACCTCGGTAGAAATCTTCGTTTCTAGACGTCTAACACAAAAATTATAAAAAGTCTACAACCGGAAAGAATCATCAACTTTTATGACATTAATTATAAATATTCTATAACAATAAATAGAAAGTCCATCATCATCGTCACGAAAGTGCGACGATGTTTTTGTTCCATAAATCTGCAAAGGTCTCGGAATGTGGCCTGCATTTGTCGGATAAATCAGCTGTTAGAAGAATGTAGTCGCTCGTCATAAGGGAGAAAGATAGCCATCATTACCCTGAAAAAGGATAAGAAGTGTCGATTATCTTGTCAACAATCGGTATGACCTTCTTTGCCTCTTCTACGGTTTCCGATTCATCATGGTAGACGTCAAGATCGATTAACAATTTTCTCAAACTCCCATATTTTAACGCATAATTCGTTATGACCGGTATTAAATTGTTGTCGTTCACTTTTGGTCTGTATACGGCCAGCACTTGAAATTTCGCTCTACAGTATTTTAGAAGGTATTCCAGGATGTCGGGAGTGATCGCAAGGTAAAAACCGAAGTAGAGTAAACTGGGTGGTATCGAAAGTGAGAATCGCAGTAAATCCTCGGTCGTCGAAAAGGGGCAATCAGAGAAGTAGATGTAGAGGGAAAAGTGCTGAAGGTTATTCATGGTGGAAAGAAGTGAAAAAATGGTGTCTGGAATTTCCTGTGTCGTTAATGATAATGATAAGTGCGTAAGATTCGGACAGTTTTGACCGATGAGAAAAACGAGTTCGGAAGTAACGCACTCCAATAATAGTGTCCTCAAATTTCCACCTGCCATTTGTAGAAGTGATTCCATGAAATTGACGATGTCTACTTGAGATTTTTTTGCTTTGTAATGTAAATGTTTAATATTAATAGGGCCCGTCACCCTTGTGCTAACTTTCAGACTTTCATCGTGGTCTCCGCTGAAATTACAGAATTGCAAGGTCTCCAGATTTTCTAGAGCTGGCAAAATGTCCAGTAGAGATTGAAACTGGTCTTGGTGTAATTCACGAATTTCCAAATAGATCAGGGTATTCGCTTGGCTAACCAGTGTTTTAAAAAGAACCGGGGCAGCTGATGGACACCAAAATTTTGAGATGACTAATTCCTTTAGATATTTCTGTGACTCAATTAATCGGGCAAAGCTTCGCGTTACCTCCGAAATTCCCGAGTCTTGATCAAAGATGTCAATATTTATGCAAATGTGTTGAATGTTACGGGTGCACTGAGACATGAAGTTGAAAAGTTCCGAAATTATCTCCGAGGGTTTTTCTCCCTGATCCTCCCAGCCTGAATATTCAAATTGAAATTTCTCGAGCCTTGACAAGGCTTTATTGGCGTCGTCAAACGAAATTATGTCCGAGATTAAGGAATAATCATCCTCGTCAAAATGGACGATTTCCAGATCCCTTAAACCCCTACTACGACTAAACAACAGATTTCCAATGACGTTTTGAATAAGGTAGGTGTCATCGTGTTCTTCTTGTCTCTCTATCAGCGAAAGCCACGACTTGACCCTTTTGGATAGCCATGACAAGACGGCGCCCGTAAAGTGAGCGGATTCGAAGCTCTTCAAATATTTTGGATAATCGAATAGAGGGTTGTGAAGAGGAGGTAGCTTTAATAACCCTTCGTCAATCAAGATTTGCTTTTCGCCTTCGGGCAAACAGGAGATGTACGTTTGAATGATGTCTGCCGCAGGTTTCCCGAATCCATGATACTCAAAAGGACGACTCCATAATAGGGGAATGGCGATTCTACACCAAAGTCGATTTACCAAGAGGCAAGAATAGAGAGTCCCAGGGTCATCAATCAGGTATGCTATGATTTCTTCGAAGCAGTCAAGAGTCAAGGGTCGAGGTATCGAGTGATTATTTTGCTGAACATCCATGACGAACGAAAATGAGTCACGCTCCGAGCTTTTACTTAAACCAATAATTATTTTTTTTTTTTCGTCGGTTGAAAAAAATTTTTTTTTTTTTCTTTTCTTTTCCTTTTTTTTTTTTTTTCTTTTTCCTCGGGACGATGTTTCCTTATGTATTTACAATAATGACATGAAAAAAAGAAAAGAATCAATTTTGCAATAAAATCTAGATCAAATTTTGTATGATAGAATGTTATGTGTTGAAGGGGTTCAAGCGGAGTTTGGTCAAAAAGAAATCTCACCTTTGGGATTTGTACCTGGGAGTTACAACGACATTTACGCTTTGCGAAATCAACAAACAATATTACCAAACTGAGAACCTTGGACAAATTAAGAAGAAGATCAATGATTATTGCATGTTTGTTGATTGGTTGGTCATGGGTGCGATGGATTTCGACGCACTCCAACTTTTAGTCTAAGTGGCTTACCAGAATTACAGCACCATTGCATAGCACTGCCCAATTCAGATTTCTTATGTAGTACATCAAACCATTTAGAATGTTAACAAAATGCCAACTGTTGAGAGGGAAGAAAAAAACCTTGCTAGAATTCATCAGGATAATAATGATCTATCCCTGAATGTTTATTGTTGTGAGCGAGTGGCATCGAAGTTTTGCATTCTCGAGACCCTTGATCCTAGACAGATATATTGAACAATTGCAACGGAGATATGGTCACGTGCAATATTATGTACCGTATATTTTCAAACAAACAAAAAGTGTGGGGTATGGGGGATCTTCAACTTAATCGGCCAATAAAAATTTTAAAAAGTTCTCACTTGTTTGTGAAACCGTCTGTGCTCGATTTGTGTAACTTATGTCATATTCAATCCGTTTTCTCTTGTCGAACCTGGCCAGAGAAATACTGTAGTAACTCGTTCCCCCCCCCCCTTTTTTTTTTTTCGAAAAGCAATATATACATCTTCGAAGACTTTACATGATCAAGGTGACAGATCAATACATATGGTAGTGAGGGTAGCGGTTGATTTCAATATTTGTGGGTCACTTCTTTTTGCAACAACGCCACATCCGTATAAGGCATGTTTTACCAAATTTTGGGGTCGATTGTACATTTTTTTTTTCTTTTTTTTTATTGTACGTTGATTTGACCATACGCAAGCCGTATGTGCGTCGTGTATGTAGCGGTAGGCATTTCGGATGGATTAAACCGGCCACCTATAAATTAGCACTACCGTAGTTAGCCGAAAACCTCATCAGGCAAGAGGTTTATGGGGAAATTATCATCATTAGGCGTTATTTATTAAAATGAGACATGATTTTAACGCCTATTTGTCACATCATTTCGGGATTTTACGGTAGCCCTTTTTAATCGAAATAATTTTCACCATTAATTACTCCCCCCCGCATAAATATCATTGTTATGATAAAAAAACAATGCTAGAATAGTAGAATTCATGTGGTGTCAATTTTCTAACTTCTAACCGCTCCTCGGTAATGCCTCGCGGCACCAAGGCGAGAATATAATTTAATATAATTTCGTCGTCGTTTCAATGAAGATTGCCTCGTTACACAATTTGATGCATAAATTAAAAATTGATTGCGACTCACCGACGTAAAACTTTTTTTTTTTTTTCCGAGTATTATTAATTAATCAAACAAAAACACAGTGATAATAATAATAATAATAAATAAATAAAAAACGGCGATAATGCTAAGAAGGTTAGATATTTATATACGCCCATTCTTTTCCCGGAGGATCTGCGCCAATCACTTCCTGCGGGATGTCTCTAAAGAGGACACCCAAAGATTATCATCTTTTCGATGCTTCTCAACGACGAGAGATGAACAGGTAGAAGCAGCCGAGGGTTCTTCATCTAACCTGTACGACATTACACCTTGGACGTTGCAGGAAGTTGAGGAGCTTTTTGAGGCCGTGGAGAAACATGGTCGACGCTGGACCTACATTTCGAAAAACCATTTTCATTCGAAAAGACCGGCGTCCGAGTTAAAGCGAAAATGGATAGATCATCAAAACATAAAAGACAATGTTCCCTATCACAATTACTGGACTGCCGAAGAGGACGAGAAACTTAGGAAAGGTGTTGAAGATTTTGGGACAGGTAAATGGAAGAAAATTCAGGAAAATTTTTTACCAAATAAATCGGAGAATCAAATAGTCAACAGATGGCTGATCATCTCAAAAACGAAGCGCGGAAAATGGAATAAGGAGGAGGATCAAATTATGCTCGATTTTATTGAAAGTAATGGGAAGAAATGGAATGAAGTGAGTCATATACTTGGACGTCCATCAGCCGACGTCTACAGAAGGTATCATCTCATAATACGTAAGCCTTGGACCGAACACGAGAAAAAGATGCTCTTCGATTCCATTAAAACGTATGGGTACGACTGGACGAAAATCATGACGAACTTCCCCGACAGAAAGTTGGTGGAAGTAAAACAATATCACAATTTTCATCCGGCCACGAACCCAAACGTAAAAGTGGGTCGCTGGACGCTTGACGAGGTAGAGAGGCTGAAAAGGTCCATCGAAGTAAACGGAAAGAAATGGCTTCTGGTAGCAAAGGATGTCGGATCAAGGACCAATTGTCAATGTCAAGCGTACTGGAGAAATCATATTCAAAAATCTGACGAGAAAGCATACAGACTTGTCCAGATCGAGTGAACGTTAAATTGCGATTGCTTTTCTTTTAAAAATGGTTCTGCGCGATTATTTAGAAGGTTGGGATTGGGGCAAGCATGTAAAAATTTGGTAAATAGATCAACCTTTTTTTAAATATGAATTGTGTAAAGCAATTGGATTTTCCTTTCCTTTGAATCGATATAAAAGGCTTTTTTATTTTTTTATTTGATATCAAAAGATATAAAAAAATTTAGATATACAGTATGCATATACATATAAAGTATATATACAGTATGTACGGTACATACTGTATATTAATTAGTTAGTTGAATTCGTAAACTATACCATATAATTAATTCTATTGGGACGTTTGCTAATTTGAATCGCGAATTAATCTCTTATTCAAAATAAGTAATTGATTGATTGATAAAAAAAAAAAATATGATGTTAAAATTTCAAACGACCAATTAAAGTTACTTTTCTTTTTTTAATGTATAAAAAAGATTATCGAAAAAATTTTTTGTGGTAATGACAAAGCCTATACTCTCCCTCAATCCAAAGGGGTACGTGCTGTCAATGGAAATATCATATTGATTCTAGTTTCATTCGTTGGAATTCTTAATCATTTGCCAAACTATTTCTAGCTTCGTTTCTTTGCTTCGCTCTCATGGAATTAATACCTTTCATGCTGTATTCAATCCTAAACTCGGAAAAATTGTAACCTCGCACCCCCTTCTACAGCCCATCGGAGAGTGAGTGATCAAGATTTGTGTACCCGATCTTTATTTATTTATTAAAAAGAAAAAAAAAGAACCAACTTATTATATTAATAATAGTTTCTTCGTTGAAGAGAAGAAGGATTTTGACAGACATGAAGCAATCTTTGGCCAAGTATGAAAATTAGAAATTTAGATTCACAGACTGAGCATTATCATCTTTTTGACATAATCGTTTCGGAAAATGTAGATCGGGCCCGTATCTGGAGTCTTACAAGTAACGAACCATTAAGTCTCCAACTATATTATCCTGTTCTCTTCGGGAAGTTTAACTGATTCCTTGTATAATCAAACAGTGCGCTTTTGTGCATAGGACCTGTCGAGGATCTGCGGCAGGGGGAGTGAGAAATTGGAATTATGAAACTGTTGAAGATTTTTTTCGTGACGGAATCCGATTGTCCAGAGGGATGACGCATAAGAATGCTCTAGCCAATATATGGTTAAAATTAATTTATGCAACATTATGATGTCAAAAAAATGAATTTTATAATACTGATATCAGTATGATACTTTGATGATAGGTGGGGTGGTGGAAAAGGTGTTATTGTTCGGAATACCGGAGTTGGCTTGTATGCAAAAATTATATTATTCGTTTAATTACATCATAATTCTGTGACTAGCTAATGGTATGAAGTTATTAGAGATCAGGAATCAACTCCCCAACAGCGTAGAATAGTATTTGAAGAATATGGTTCGTTTTTAAGGTACCATCATTAATTAAGCATTAAATCTTACCCGCGTTGTTGTGTTATCTCGATTGTAATATTCAACATCCAAACAGTTCACTGAAGGGCGTTTATGTAACAGCCGAAGATGTTGGCGTCAAAGGTATTTTTCCTGTGCGAGTAATTCATCTTCCATACAGTCATAATTATTTAAAATGTTAATTTTTAATTTCACAGAGGAAGATGTAGCAGCGATTTTTTCGAAAACCCGATTTACAACATGCATTCCACCGGAATATGGTGGTAGCGGTAATCCTAGTTACTCAACGGTAGTCATGTTACCGATGTAGGTTTATGTTGGGATTTTTTTTTTCGTAATATCGTTAATAATACTATTTTGAATACCTTGCGTACGCAATCCTTTCGAAGGCTCGAGGAGTAGTGTGTGCTCTTGAAGCTGCATTTTCTTATGTTGGCAAGAATTCTTTGCAGGATAGCACATTCGCTGTTCAGGTGCACAATAGTCATTCTGATCAGATAACTTGTTCTGCATTTTGGCTTATTTTTCCTTTTATTATAACGTCAAGGGTGCGGGACACGTAGCCACCGGGATCATACATATTCTATTGCGAAAAAAAGTACGACACATTTTCGTTAGTGATGTGGATTTGCAAAAGATTAATTCCGCAGAGGTTAGGTTTTCCAAAGAATTTAGAGAAGGGAGGCTTACCTTCCGATTCGCCGAGAATTATGATCATTCTATTTTATTTGAAGGTATGCCTTTATTTTTTAAAAGGAGATTATGCATGACATGTTATTGCATTGAGGTTTTCCATGGTTAACTTAAAAGATTTATTATTATGTAGACGTGGACGCGGTGGTTCCAAGTGGAGTTGGAGGAATTCTCAATCCTAATACGATCCCCAATATTAAAGCTAAAATTGTTTGCGGAGCAGCGAATAATCAGTTGAGTGGTAGGAAATTTTTACGAAAAGTCTCATTTAATGGACATTATTTTCTAAGAAAAACAACATTTCCAGATCTGTACAAAGATGACAAGCTTCTTGCCGAAAGGGGAATTCTCTACATTCCTGGTGAGTGGTATTGAAGAGTTTTAATCAAAATTGAATTGTTTATACTATTTCTCATTTGATCATTCTTAATAGACTTTCTAGTTAATCGTATGGGTAGGTATTTTAATAATTGAATAGCATGCTTATGAGCAATTTAAAATCAATGTTCCCTTTTAATGAACATCAGGCATCGTAAATTGTGCCGATGAAGCTGCTGGATATGTAGATGACGATCCATTATTTGAAAAACATCTCGGGCATTCTTGGAAGGTACATTTTACGCAGTCAATACGGCATATGTTATATACGATATAACCATTTTTCGGCATAATTAACTAAATTTTAATATTATACAATCTCGATAGTATTCAATTTATAACCTGACTAAATCTATACTTTCGGAGGCTGCGTCAAGCGGAAACACCCCTCAAGAAGTTGCCATAAAATTGGCCGAACAGAAATCATTCAAGGAGAATCCTATATTCGGTCATCGGGGTATACATATTATTAATAGCTTGATAAATAGTGACACATGGAAATCAAAGGTTAATGTCAATTAACTAGACCAGTTATACCCGAGTCTGCCTTGTGTCATCAATTGATCCTTTGTTTTATTCAAATATTGATTAAATGGAAGTTCCAGTTTAATGGAATTTGTCGTATTCATGAGTATGTTCACGTACAGTAATCTACTTAATTAATCTACTTGATGGTCAATTTTTCTGAACATCCGTTAATCAACATTTAACGTGCACCTATCTTTCAAATTATTTGATTCAAGATAATATATAACATCAGGAAATTTTTTTGGTTATCTCCATTAGAAAAAATTTTTTTAAAAATATATGAAATATTAAAAAAAATTTTTTCCTTTTGTCAGGCTAGTTACATGCATTTTATTAAACATTTTGTAGACTTTATATATCAATGTGATGCTAAAGTTAAATCTCTAACTAACTTACTCATCTTGATTATTGCCACTCTAAGTGTAACTTTTTATCACTTCACTAACAGTTCAAGTAAATACCCTTCCAATTATTAGTATTATTGTCTGCAGATCACCATTGCAGATTACTTTACTAATCTCTAACAGAGATCAAAATTCTAATCATTTTATTTTATATTCAATTCCTTTTATTAAGACCTACTTCAAATTCTTTTCATTTAATCTTTTTTTTTTAAGAATTGATGGTTTCTTGATCTTGATCTTGTTTTTGAAACTTTTAAGTCTGGTCTTTTTACTTTATATTTTCTATTGATTTCCTATAATTATTTCTATTCAATCATTCTTTTATATCTTTTATTTCAAATCTCCTTTCAAATATAATTACAAACCTTTTTCTGCATTTTTGTAATCTATATATAAACTTTTTGTTCTATTCTTTTATCACAACATTTGAGATCAATCATTGTGATAAGCCAGTCACTCCTTATAAGTTTTATATAAAAGCTTAATACTCCACAATCACTTTTAAAGACCTTCTATAAGTTTAAAGGTTAACTTATTTTTTTTTTAAAAAAAAATTCTCTGTCAGGTTAGGTATATATACTTTATTAAATATATGTATACTTTACATTAATAATGAATCATTAAAGCTAAGTCTCTATCTAGCTCACATGTCTTTATTTTAAGAATTATTAAAACTCTAAGTGCAACTTTGGAAATGATTTATTGCTCTATTAGCAGTTCTGATAAAGACCCTTCTAACTATTAAATTCATTACCTGCAGGTCACTATTACAGATTACTTTATGATGTTTTGACAGAGCTTAAAACCCAATCATTTCATTTCATACTTTATTCTTCTTGTTAAAATTTCTCAGAAGCTTCTATTTTCAAGGTTTTCCTTTTTTAGATAATGAATTCTTTTCTTTATAATTATAATTTTCTGACTAGATAAATAAAGAGATCTTTTTGTTTTGTTTTCTTTATTAATTCCTTGTGTTTGTTTTTATTCAATTACCTTTTCACATTTCTTGTTTCAGATTTCTTTTCAGACTTGACTGCAGGCTTTTTTTTTGCATTTTTATTATTCACTTTCTTGCTATTCTTCTTATACATTTATCTTGATATTTTAGATCTGCTATTTCTCAGATAAGGTCAGTTCTTATAAGACTAATATAGAAACTTAGTATATTCTGACTGGTTCCAGAAATCTGTTTCACTACTTTAGCAATCCACTTATTAAACTTTTTTATTTCTTTATGGTTATTGATAATTAACCAGGAATTTTTCTCTTCAACCTCTTTCTTTCTTTTCCATAATAGTTCTTTAAAGTTTCTAGTAATTTCATCTACTTCTTTATTCTATGCTTCTTGTAGTTGATTCTTATAGGCTAAACATTCTAACAAGTATTATATCATTTCATCTTGTTGACTACATGCAATATATTTCACTTGCTTATATAGATCAGATCTTCTTATAGTCAACTTACTTAAGGTAGGTAATTCATCATTGATCAGTTTAATAAAAAAGCTTCTTTGTTGGGATTGTTTAAAGAATGTATCCCCTATATATCTATCTTTAACCCTTTTCTATACTAGGTTTCATGTATGAGCCTAGTGTTCTGAAATCTGATAATTTCATTTTTTTCTATTCTGTTTTGTTATATCCATTGATAGATTATTATTTTATTATTAATATTCTTAATAAACTATTTAATTGAATTATCTAGAGTTGCCTTTTGCCACTTGATTTCAGTATAAAGTGAGATCTTTTCATTTGATTAATGGAAATTTTAGGGGTTTCATTGGCTAAAGTATCTATTTCTTTATTATAAGGATCATTTGAGTGTGTTTTGACTTTTGTAAGCTTTAGATCTATGTTTTTTTTTTTATTAGCTTTACTATGCATATCTATAGGAATCAATTTTTTTTTTGAGCCATCTCTTGTGTGTCCTTTTTAGATTTTTTTTTTCTAAAGATTTTCACTTCAAAATACATATTTGACTGTCTGTAAAGATCTTCACTCTACTTTCAATTGAAACTATCAGAAGTATTGTTATGATTGCTATTAATTTGGCTCTTGTGAATAAGAATCAATTGTTTACTTCTATTTGGAACTTACTTTTCTATCTTTCCATTTATATTTGAATCCAAGCTGCTCTCATCTTCATATCTTCTTTTCCATAATTAATAAGTGATCCATCAGAATAGAAGATTAGTTTTTCTTTAAATCCAAGGTTACATTGAAGTATATCTATCAGATAATCTTGATATGTTCCTTCTTTAATATGCTCTTTGATAATAGATTCTTTCCAGGTTTCAATGTCACATAATTTATTTTATTATTTTGGGTCTTGAAAAGGCTTTGGTTGCTGTAAATGATTCTTTTTTCAAGTGCTGACTTGAAATTAGGGATTTTTAACTCACATGTTCTTCTGATAAACTTTCTTGTATTGAGGTATAGTACTATGTATATTTTTTCTATTTATCTTTCTTGATATAGTCACTATTTAATATTATACCTTCTGAATATCCCAAGTATTTTTGTATATTGATCTTTTGGTTATTGTTGGAGCTACTACTGATAAAATACTCTATTATCACAATATTTCTCTTTTTTTTTTGTCTTAATTTTTCTCAGGTTGCTTGATTTCTTTTATTTTTCATCACTATTCACAGTTTTTTTTGCTTATCTCGATTATGGTCTATTTTTGAGTATTCTGGTTACCATTTCTTATAATTTTCTTTTACAGATCTTATAAGCTGCTTTGGTTGTTCTTCTATGAGATTTTTGATTATAATTTGAAATTATTCTAGTATGGATTCTTTGCTTGTATCTTGTAGGAGCTATAATATTTACTAATATCTTATTTTTTTAATTTTCTGATCAATTAACTAATCCAGATACATCAATTGATTGTTTCTATGTAATGGTATGATTTTTTTATATTCTTTCAGTATGAGATATTTTTCAATTCAAATGTTTTTTTTTTTCAATTCAAAGATATCTTGCCATTTCTAACTATGAAATATTATTCCCAGATCTTTAACAATTTTGATTACTTGGAGTGGAAAATTATCTTTGTCTATTAAATGGCTTAAGGATTTGCAGGTTAATAAATTGAGTGATTTCCAATTTTTTATCTGTACTTGTTTAAGTCTAATGATTGTTGTGATTTTTGCTGATCCAGGATCATTTAATCTATTGCAAAGTCCTGTTACTTGGCTTTCTCTTTGTAGTATCTAAACACTTTTCAAGTTCTAAATCTTTCAATAGTAGATTATGCTATTGGGTATTGATCTGTATAGACTGCTCTTATTTTTGAAAAGTATTCTATATGCTGTTGTTAAGGTGTTACATATTTTCCAGGACAATATGCTATATTACATTCTAAATTCTATCCTAGATATTAATACTCTATTCAAAATATAGAGGGCTTGTTTATCTATCACCTTTTTATGTTTAAGGGCCCTTGTTATTATGTTGATCTCTTTAAGCACTCATTCTTTAAGCTTAATTACTGTTTTTTGGTTATTCATCCAGATTTCTAAAAATTTAACTTGTTCTATTTTATCAAGCTCTTTAACTACTTCTTCTTCAGTACCTGCCTTCACCTCTTCTGGATAGCAATTAGGATTGTCAATAGTAACTAAGATTGATTTGTTGCCATTTATTTGAGAGTCATTAGTAATAGAATTTTTTCTATATCCTCTTTAGATCTTGCTATCCATATTGTATCATCTATAAAGCTTATAGCTGCATGCCTTAATTCTAACTTTCTTGTAATCTATTTTTTAAAGTCAGGATTTTAATGTGACTAACATTTTATACCTTCTTTGTATATTGTTCTGGATCTTGCATAGGATAGGATTATAAAAAATTCTCCATAATAGTGATGAAATAGTTTCCTCTTGGTCAATTTTATTTTCAGCTATCATTTATTCTGTGAAATTATTTTCGAATATGACCTGAAATTCTCTATTTTAAAAAGGTTTATTATAATCTTTATAAAATCTCTTGAGGCTTTGATTCTTTTTATTGCTTTTACCAGCATATCCAAACTAATTGTATTATATACTTTTGCCATATCCTAAAAAAGTATCTACAGTTCCTTTTTGTTTTCTCTGATATCTTTATAGATATTATTGAAAATTTGAATTGGTTCTGTTATACTTTCTCCTGATAGCCCTATATAGTTTGGTCCTTTAAGAATATTATTGTTTTTACAAATATTTTCCATTCTGTTTATGAGAATTTTAATGAAATATTTTCTTGTAACCTCAGATAAGACAATAGGTTTAGTATTTGAGAGTTCACAGTCCCAAGATTAGGATTTTACAATAGGATATATGTAACTCTGTTTTCAATGTTTCGGAGTGACTTCTTATCTTAAGAAGTTATTCACATTTTTCTCAAGAAGTCTTTTCTTTTTTAGCTCAACCATTTCAACATTTTATAACTAATTTGAGATTTTTCTGAAGCTTTGTTATTGGGAAGTGCTTTTAATGTTTCATCTAATTCTTTTTGTGAGATTGGTTGAAGTAGTTAAT